GCTGGCCTGAGCCCGAGCCTGAGCCCCCAGCGCGAAGGGCAATGAATAGAGGACTGAAAAACGAATATATACTGAATATATATATATGCGTGTATGCGACTGTGTGTGGCTGCCTGCACAAGACAAAGAGCTTGGGTTACGCAAGGTTAAGCTGGGATAATAAAGTAGTAGACAAGCCGTAAGTACCGCATAAATTGCCAAGGAGCCAGCAGGACTCTGGCACTTAGCTCAGGTAAGCACTAATTTATCAATAATACGAGTTTTCATTAGGCAAGCAATGAGGGTAGGTTCTCTCAAGTAAGCGTTTAATACAAAAGGTCTACATATTTCAGCCGGAACGCTATCTTAATTAAACTCGACATAAATCCCTTATGTTGCAGCTGGCATAAAAAAATAAAAAAAAAAAAGATTTTAAGGCTGCATTAGGGCAATTGATAAATTATTTATTTAGTTATCAATGAAAAAGAAAAAATGTTTTAAATGTTTGACTTTTCCGAATTTTCGGAAATCCCAGCAATTACATCAATTAGTGGGTTTACTTGTTTAGTTCCTTGATGAACTCCACCTAGTTCGAAATTAGCTCATTTGCAAACAAGCGGTCAGCAAAACCAATGAATTTTTCGTTCTTCTTGATTGTTGTGATAGTGATTCCTACTAACTTCCTATATGAAACTAGTTCTTTAAATTCATATATTTTATTTTCTTTTCATTTATGATTTTTTGAGTGTAAATTTTAGACAACTATATTTATTTATCGAATTGGCAAACTTCCTATGTGAGTAATTCTGTTATATATCTATTAACCATATTATTTATAGTTATGATCTAATTTGAGTTTTATAAACTTTGCATGACTGTAGACTGAGATATGAACCAGCTTTGCACAACAAATAAAAGATTTAAACTATATTTTTTCTTGAGAATTACGTACACTCACACATAGAGATCTTATCTTAGTGCTATTGTAGTAATAATTTTTCATTCGCAGCACCCACACACACGCAGAGTGAGAAAAAAAAATTAGTCAACACTGTAAATAACCCCTGGGCGGGAGGTGAGGCGAGGTAAGGGTGTTTCGATAGGGCGATGAGAAGGGAGTTGCGTAATTCACTTAATGCAACGCATTTCCGTTGTGCTGCGGGTTCGAATCGTTATCGCTATCTGAAACACCCAGACATGCCAACATGATTTCAATCTAGCAATACAAATGCATACACAAGCATGTATTTACTATATACAAATATTGTACAGTGAAAGCTCTATCGGGTGGACAGCGAGGGTACCATTTACCCCTAAGGTCCTGCAACTCCGTTTTATCCGTTTTGTTTTATATATATATGTATCTTATTATTCCAAAGTCAGAATAAGAAATTATTCTTTAAGGACATGCGATTGGGCTTATATTACGAATTAACTGAATAAGTGAGATAGACTACTCAAAGCACAGCTTGCGGGCTCGTTAGTAGGAGTCTTCACTGTAAATATGTCGATAGCATAAATATGACAGAATGGCAGCTAGCTCTACGCCGGGCTGAAGTGGACGGGAACGAAACGGGACGGGACGGAACGGAAGGGGCCGAAGTGCAATTGCAGTGCGCGCACCTCATTGAACTTTTCAGACAAACACAATTTGTCCGATAAGGGAAAAAATTCCACACGACAACGAGGTGAGGTATAGGTGGGGGCGTGGCAGCATAACGTACGAGCGGCCGGGCGATCGGGCAGACGGAAGAGCTGACGGACGTCGCGCACTAATGGCCACCATTAATAATTGAAAAACTGAAACAGTTGAGCATGTGTGAGAGCAGAGGCAGAACCGGGGGAGAAGGAACTGGGAACATGGGTCTCGGTTTTTGGGATGCCAAAGCATAGCTTAGTCTTGGGAGGATGGGCAGGTTGGGTGGTTGACAAAAATCTATAACCAAAAAAGTTATGAATAAGCGAACGAAACGAAAACGAAGCAACGAGTGGAGCAAGAGAATGAGCTGAGGCGACGGCAGCGAAGAGATGAGAGAAAAGGAAAAAAAAAAGAAAAATAACGAAAAAGAAATGTTAAAGCTACAAACCTGTTCTATGCTGGCGTCGCTGTTCCTGTTGTTGTTCTTGTTTTTGTTGTACATGGCGAGTCCGAGGGGCTGGCGATGCTGCGGCGCTGCTGGCGACACGGCGACAATGTTGAAGCTGCTGCCGTTCTGCGTATAGTTGTTATTGTTGTTGCTGCAGCAGCTGCAGCACTGGCCACAACCAAATTGTAGGGAATCGCGTGCAAAGCACAGCCAAGCAGCATTGGAAAATTACAACAACAAAAAATGTTGCCTTTTTCTTTGTGGCAGCGAGTTTTCCCGACGAATTTTATGCTGCTGCAGTCCAAAGAATCGCACGAAACGATACTGAGACAGCGACTGCGACGGCAACGGCAACACCGATTGAGTCGTGCGAACGCTAGCTACAGAGCAGCGCAACGCAGGGCAGAGCATAAGCCAGGCAAAAATATTGGAGCAAGGTGTTTCCAAATAGCGTCGACCGAGCTGCAACTGAGCAGCGCTCACAGACACGGCGAATTCGCAGCGTTTCTCTGCGCAAAAGCAGAGCTGAGAGTAGGTTTGGCTCTCCTTGTTGTTGTTGCTGTTGCTGCTGCTATTGCTATTGCTGTATTGTATGTGCGTCTCTCCCACCACCAACGAATGAAGAGTGGGCAAGTTAAGTCTGTCGCCTTATATTCTGTTGGGGCTGCTGCTGTCGCCGCTGCTACTGCTGCTGCTTGCGCTCGCGCTCTACCGCCTGCCTCTGTGTCAATCGAATTAAACTGAGAGCAAACTGAGTAATTGGGTTTAGATATTTTTCCACAGATAGATTGAGACAATGTTATATATTTTCTTATTGTGTGTACATTTATTAATTCAATAATAGCACTGGCCCATCGATAAAGCAAAATGCAGCAGTTACATTTGCTAACACACACACGCACACACATACGCCGCAGAGTGTATACAAAAATCTGCACAGCGTTTTAAATTTAGTTGTGTTTGAACTTCGATTCAACAGTAAACCTTGAACTTAAGTGTATTTTACATTGTTCACTCTTATTTGATATCCTCAGCACCTTTCTTTGTTACATATTAGTTTTGAATCTTTACTCTGCGGAGAATTTCGAGCAGCGCGGCACAGCCTGTGCGCACTGAAAACTTCTGCTGCAATACACAAATTTCTTTCTTATTTGCTGCGCGCACCACCTACCAGAAGCTGAGAAAATAATTAAAAATACGCGACGCGCGGCAACGTCCGTACGCAACAATTCTGTGAGAAAGAATGAGCATAACTAGTGTATCGATGCTACGATGTATAAGAGCAACCACAAGCAATGTGTCGATATATATCGATAGCTGAGCGCTGGTTCTTTTTAAGCATGAACTAAGTAATTCGTTTATTATTTGATCATAATTTTCAATGAAAACACACATGACATAAGCAATATTATATACCTATTCGAACTAGAAAAATAATTAGTTACCGAAATAGTTAATTAGATCTGACTAGGCATATTTAAAAATTGAAATCAAAAATGAACCAGATTTTACTTGAAAACGGAACTTTTGTAACGTTCCTTTTGGTTTTAATTTTAAATTCTGATGAAATGCTTCTCAATAAAAAGGAAAGGCGATTTCGCAGGTATTATATTTAACTAATCACAGACATTCTCAGTTAGTCATTCCAAGGCTTCAGCTCCAAGAACCCCGCACACAACTGTCTCTTTATACTTACATATGGCTATGTATGTACATACATGTATCTGCCACTCGGTCTGAAACTTGTGAGACAGACAATTGAAGTGTCTGAAAATCTGAATCATGCTTGTCGTCTCTTTTGTATAAACAAAGCAACGCTTACCCAAGAAATTAGCGGAGTGCCGTATCAATTTACGAGTTCAAGAACATACACGTATATGTGTGTATGTATAAACAGATATATAGTATGTATATGTGTATGTGTAAAGCAGTTCGACTTCTTGACTGATTGGTGTTCATTAATCAAACAATTGCTCTGAAATGCTAAAAGATATTTGTGCCTTACTTCTTGAGTAAAATATTGAGTTTATAATGTAAAGCAAATGAACTGTAAATCATATTAATTTATACTGAAAGAACTTGCATCGTGTAATGCCGATTAGCACAATCGCATTGGAACAGTAGAACTTACAATCTTAATAACTTCGGCATTGGATTACTTCATAGAACAGAATTGTTTATCTGCCCAGCTGTGCAAATACCAAGAGATATTTACCTTTAGTCACAGTACTGATATATGCATATGCGATATCGAAATACGAGCCTATATGGCGCAACTAATGGAAAATTCTTTATTGAAGGGAAAACTTTGGTACGCAGTTGCAACTAACGCTGATGCCACCGCCTCTGCCGCTACCGCTGCTAATGTGAGCTGTTCGTCGTGTCATTCGCTTGTTTTTTGTTCTCGCCCGGAAATTGTGGGTCATGATTGTGTTGCTGGTTCTTGACCACCAGCTCACCTGTGCTGGAGCAGGTGATAATGCGAGCAGCACAGCGCAGGTAACGGTTCCGAGCACAAAGCCAATACGTCTTCGATCCTCGGCTATTGTTCCGAAAGTACTCGAAGCCGCCCATCAACAGCTTCGGCTTACCCTTGGTACCTTTGACGATCATTATGCCCTGCTTGCGCACAAGTTCTGCAAGGAGAGATAGAAGGTTGATTTAATTAGTTAACCAGAATTCAATACAGGTTGATACTAAGATATAACGTGCACTATGGTACGACAATTAGTTCAGGCTTTTGCAAAAACATTTTTTTATTAGGCTTCGAAACAGATCCAGATCTTAAACTAGTTGTTAGCTGTTTGTAGACGCCGCTTACGTCTCCAAAATGCGACACCTTGGCTCTGTTTCCTATCTGCAGTAGTATAAGAGGGAATTTGATATATGTGTTATAAAGTAGATGTGCCATGGATTTACATTTAATTATATATGTGAAGTCTTAAAAGGTCTACGATTTTTCATTTCTCTTTTTGATCAGACCTTAGCTGGATTACATCTAGGTATWATTTTATATATATTTATAGAAAAAGTATAATCTAGATACTAGATTATAAGGTAGTAGCCACATCTCAACAAAGCTGAATCGAATAGCAACTAGGTCTATAATTGGTAAAAGTATTTTTAAAAGTATTTGCGGACTGGATCCACTTTAATCTGTATCGCGCATCGCAGCTCCCATAGCCCCATAGCTGCGATGCTCAGCTATGCGAGTGATTGGCATATTTGATCCTGTACACCTCCTGGCCGCTCTTCAGCTCGTGCGTCGTCGCCCTCACTTTGCAGTTGGCGCTGCGATATCTTGCACAGCGCCAGTTGATGCTGCTCTTCAGTTTCCGATCCATGACGAATTCGTGTTTATCTATCAACAATTTGCGCTTCTTCTTGCGCGTGCTCGTAAAATTGGCCAACAACATGATATCTGCAATGAGAAGCATACAAATATATATAATTAGTGATAACAAGTCTATTTTCGAATCAATACTGAGCTTTTAGCTTTATCGAAAACTTTAGCAGAACATTTTTTCATCACTTTATTTACTAAAAAAAATTTTGTTTCTCTTAATATTAAACGTTTTCAAAAATTAGTTGAAAAATGTGTATTATAAATAAGTATAGAACATTTTGTATATGGTATATACATATATTTAAATGAGCGCTAAAAATCCATGGCGAATAGTTTCAAACTAAAATTATACCTAAACTTAACTTGCAAGTTTTTTAACAAAAATATCATCTTTTACCTTCAAAAAAATTAAAATATTAAGATAATATATATGGATTAGTTCTCCATCTTATGCTTGGGATCAGCAGCTCTTCCAATTAAAACAACTTAACAAATTTCAATCGCTAATTTTAAAAATGTATCTAGAGAGCACTTTAAGAATTACTTAATATATTAATAGAAATATTGTGGAATATTATTGCACAATATTTCCTCAATTAGCACTGGCTAGAATAATTGGGGAACAATTAGTAACGTGTCCAACGTGTCCTTTAATACTGTCTGATATCTAAACACAAAAAGTTTATATACCTACAAGTACATAGATTTATATATTATTGAGTTTTGAATGAAATCTGGATTTCGTCCAGGACGCGAATCCTATTTAACACTTTATCTTGTCTATATTGGGTAAGATATTATTCGTTTTATAAGATGCAAAAAGTCGAAGAAACTTATTAAAATCAATTGTTTAAATTATAGCAAAATAAAGTCTTGTATTGCTCTGAATGATATGCTGGACAGAATGTCACTTGCAAAATATATAATGAATTTCCATAATTTAAAAATATTGATACGTCTTACTAAATAAACGTGGTAATAGATCAGGGACAAATGAATACAATGCAAAGAAATAAATAGAATTTAGATAGTAAAAGGTGGTATAGGTACCGCCATTGACCTAGTTGCGCCCACGTAATGCGTTCTTCATCTTCCGTCCGTATTCCTCCTGGCTGTGATTGTGCTTGCAGAAGTGGACAATGCTTCCATTCAGAGTGTGAATGCGTCCGTGACACTTGAGTATAGTCGTGTACTGAGTGCAGCGCCAATAGGTCTTATTGTTGATGGCCTTCTCCCGGACATAGTAGAAGCCCTCATGCAGCAGGAGAATGCGACCCTTTTGGCTGATCACATAGCAAAAGTTGGGCAGATCTAAAAACGATATAGCAAGATAGATATATAACATTATTAGATAGTTTCTAGTTCCATAAATCTTAAGCTAACTTTATTCAGAAACAATAAGGAGCAGTTCTTAGGTATATACAGACGAAGTTAGATGGTGCATTTGCTGCAGTGGCTCGCATGCGAAATAGTTGTCATATAATGTACACTTTTTGAAACTTTATTCTTATTCTTATAGAGTTAAGCAGATCTGATCTATACAGTTTGAAATTCTATCTTTAGATCGCATCGTCTGTCAGCTCGTGCAGCTCCTGCACCTCCTCCTGGTGCAGCTCAAAGCTAACCGCTCCCTCCATCTCGCGCTCCAGCTTGATCTGGGCAGCGTCCTGGGCCTGGGTCATTGAATGCGCCTTGCTGGAGCTATACTTATTTCGCTTTAGCTCCGCATGCATGTGCTCCGCCTTGTTGATGATGAATTTCGGTGGATTCTCCTTGAGCATAGTTATTCTCGCGGGACACTTCAGCTTCTTGGTTGCCATCGAGCTGCAGCGCCACAGGATTTTCTTCTTGTTCTCGCTCATAATTAGAAATCGTATGCCATTAGCCATAATAGCTGGACGACCGCGCAGCGATTGTGTGAAGAAGACCAGAACATCCTCCGGATTGGGCACCTCCTCATTAGCCAGCACAACTGCAAGGGAAATGTTGAACGATAAAGCAATTAGTGAGCGTTGGGTTGGAGAATTGAATTATTATAATCGATTAGCCAAATGCCAAGTACTGTCACAGCTCTGCCTGGTTTTTGTTTTCTTTCATTTTATTTACAAGCCAAAAATAGCACTTAAATTAGATTCTAAACGCGTTTGCTTTTGCTCGACGGTTGCTGCTGCTGCTGCTGCTTCTCCTTGCGCTCCGGTCGCACATGGCAATGCTCGTGGATCTGTCGGAAGTCACTCGAATCGAACTTATTCATGCAAATTAGCACTGGGCAGCGTACGTGGCGGTAATACCAATGGCAGCGCCAGAAGAAGTTCGAGCGGTTCTCGTTGTTCCTGAAGAACTTTAGGCCGTCCAGCCAGAGCAGCTGGCCGCCGCGTTTTGAGACCGAGAATTGCACCTTGGGCTTATATGGAGCAGCAGCAACAACTGCAAAAGAAATAGAAAGAGTAAGATTCACAATCAATTAGTTATAGTTATAGTTWGTTGTGGACGAAGGGGCTTCTCGTTTTGAATGCTCTTTGCACATTGAAAAACTATGCGGATATTTGCGTACTTTAATACATCGATTCTTAAGTCCTTACTAGCTAGCAAGTTAACAGTAAAACTAAAATTCGTAGCTTTGCTTCGATTTGTACTCGTGGAGCGGTGGAGGCGGGCGACTGGACAAAATTCTAGCTGAGAGCAGCTCGGGCGAAGCAATCTCACGCGACTGCAGCTCAACTTCAGTCTGCTGGTCCTGATCTTGATCAAGCTGCTGCTTCTGCTCCCGCTCCCGTTCCCGCTCAGTCACCCGCTCGTGCTCCTGCTCAGGCTCCTCCTCTTTAGCCATGGACGGCAGCGGCTTTATCTCAATGTCATTACTCTCCATGTGCTGATGCTGATGGCAGAGCCGCAGGATGAGCGTCGACTCATCGTGAATAGCTATGGCCGGGCAGCGCTCCTTGTAGTAGTTGCGACACTTCCAATATTGCAAATGCCCGCGTTTCTTGTTGCGGAAGAAGCGAAAGCCATTGATCACCAAGAGCTTGCCGCCGTTCTTCTTCGAGTCGGCAAAGTCTATGTGAAATGCTGCAAGAGAAAAGCAAAATAAATTAGAAACAAGTTCAAGGAAAATCATTTAATCGAAACTTATTTGCGAACATCATAATAATAAATTTGTATGCAAGTCCTATCAAAATGTTATTTATTAAGCTTCGACTAACTACAATTTGTTGCAGAACAGTTTTAAGCCTAGCTTAGGTCTAGGCTGATTTGCTAGTCAGCGGCAGCGGCAGGCTGCATTTGCCCTTGCTCTTCTTCAGCAGCGCAGATCCCTCAATTATGGACAGCTGATGGGAGAGGCTGACACCTCTGTGCAAGAACTTGGGCTTGTGATTGTGCTCGAAGTTGCGCTTGATAATTCGCGACTGCCCCGAGCTGTCCAGAGCAGTAACCACTCGAGCCCGACATATCGTCACGTCCTGTGAAAAGAAAGTCATATACAATACATATATAGAGGGAATGCTAGACATGATCTACAGCATAATACATATAAGGCTGTCAGAGGCTGTTTTAGTCAACGCTTGGGGTTCGCCAAATTAGCTCTCAGTCATCCAGTTACTCCAGTTACATCAGTCACTCAGTGAACATCATGGAATGAGGAATCGTTCCACTTACCTTGCGAGAGCATATCCAATACGTGCGCGAGGCGGAGCTGCGATTCTTGACAAACTTCTGATCGTTGTGAATTAGAACTGTACGTCCTCGCTGGCCCGTCCCGAAGACCGCGATCTCTGCAAAAGATTGAACAGACATTAGTAAGCGAGATGAAAGATATACATGATCAATATATGATATATAACATAAGAGTAGTGCTATAGTCATAAGGCTAGCTACGTTGGGGATTGTGCGAACATTTATTAAGAAATTCAGAGATTCAAATTCATATATATTCAGTAACATTTGCAATTTATGCGTGGTTATGAACGCCCGATATGGCGACATAGGTGGGCTTGTTGCTGTTGGTAATCATATACACTTTACAGTTTAGACGCTTTTGACTGCACGACCAATAGACAGTGTCCTCGTAGTAGCAACGACGCGTAAAACGCTGGTCATCATAGATGAGCACATCCCCACTGAGAGTGTGCTCATAGCGCACTCGATCCCAATCGTCCAGGGTGCGAGTGAGTTGGCTCTTGTTGGAGAGGCCACAGCGTATATTCTGCTGGCGACGCGATCCACATCGAGAACGTGATCGGGGCAGAAAGCTCTCGTTGCCATAGTCACCCAAAATATTCGGATCCAGCGGAAACAGCGCTGCAAAAAGAAAGCGTGAGATTAATGGATGTGTTGGAAGCAAAAAGGGTCCGGAGACAGCAGTATAACAAGAAGTAAAAGATTCGATTCATTGATTTTAGTAACTTATATTTGGTGGAACTTAAAATAAAAACCATTGTAAAATACAAATAAAAGCTGACACGGCCATTGGCTAAAAGTAAAAAATATGTGAAATAAATTAGGAAATGCCAAGGTAAAAGTAAATAAGTCAAGTCAAAGCCTTACCTGCTCTCAGTGATAATCTCTCCAGTTAACTAATAAGCTTTGATATACTCTGATTAGTTAATATAACGATTAGTTTAGTGATTATGCATGCCGCTGAAGGCGTAACGCGTCTGTCCAGTGCCCGTGGTGTTGGTTATGATGCGAGCTCGGCATTGCTTGCGCCATTTGCTGCACTTCCAATAGACCTTGTCCTTGTAGGCAGCATTGCGCAGGTATCGGTGGCCGCCGCTGTGAAGGACGCAATTTCCTGCTGGAGTCTTGATATATTGTATGTCATCCATGGGCTTGGCCTGCCGAATACGCTTGGACATCGGCCATGGCAGCGTAGCAGCCGAAGCGATTCTGCGATTCTGCACTGCAAAGGACACGCAAAATATGACAAGTTAGTGTTAGTTAATTACAAATGATTAGATCTATTTTAAGGTACAATAAATTGGGCATATTCTCCATACAATTTCTTATGCACTGCAATTTATTTTGAATTAATTAGTAAATTGTCTTAGCCTAAGGTTATCTAGCTACTGCAGCTGCTGCAGATCCTCAATGCTGAGATTAAGCGAACGCAGCTCCAGCGTCAGATCCTCCTCAGCTTCAGTTTTGACAAAGCCCGATGCAAGGGCTGCCTTGATGGCCGACTTGTGCTCCGTCTTGAGCAGCGGAGCGACCAAGGACAAACGCTTCTTGCGATCGAAGTTGAGGCAGGTATGATGGCAGGACTCCAACACAATCTTATGCACGCCCTCAATCACGTTGGTAACAACGCGTGCGCTGCACTTGGTGCTGCCCTGCATGATCGATAGAGACAGACTGTTAATAACTGCTTGAAAAGTTACTTTATTGAACTATCGCCTACGAACTTACCTTTTTGGAACAGATCCAGTAGGTCTTCAGGCCGCTGCGTCGATTCCGCACGTAGTTGTGTCCATTGAAGGCCAGCAGCTTGCAGCCGCGCTGGCCTCGCACAAAGGATAACAGTGAGTGTTTGATTTCGCCCCGATTAATCTCCTCCAAATCGTCTGTGAAGGGAGTTAGAGAAACATTAGTGGGACTGGCAAAGATATTAGGAAATTACGAAGCTTAGCTTAAGTCAAATTTAACAGGCATTTCAAGTGAATTTTTGTTTTATTTAATTGCTTTCTGCTAAGGACTAAAACAGGACTAGTATGGCGGATGGTTGTGCTGGCTGCACTTGACAATCACATCGCGATCCTCCACGGTGACGACACGCGCTTTGCACTTGTGAGCGCCAGCGCGTGCACAGGACCAATAGGTCTTCAAGCCAGTCGCTTTGTTGCGGGTGAAGGTGAACTCGCCGATCTTCAGCTTCCGACTGCCACGAAAGCCCGTTATATAGGAGTAATAGTTGGGATCTACAATAAGGTAAGAGAGAGAGAGAATGTACAAGCAATTAGTAAAGATCATAGAGTGGAAAAAATATATATAATTGAAAAATTACAGGCAGTATATATACACATTGAGCACGTCTCTAACTAGGCATTTATTTAACACATATTGAGAGTATGCGATATATATATATGCATATATATGATTATATATGCATAGCGTGTCTTTACGTATATACAGTTGGCTTAAGACTAACTAATTCAAACGTTTGTCTCCACTTTCACGTCGTCCTTGTGCGCTCGAGCTGCTGCCTCCGCCCGCTGGCGCTTCAGCGAGCCATATTTGCGCGCCTTCGAGATGACCTCGTGGTTGTGCTCGCTGTTGAGAATGGTGAGTGTATCCAGCTTGGTCTTGAGTCGGGCACGGCACCGCAGCACTGCAAACTGGCTGCAACGCCAGTAGGTGACATCCTCGCGAGTAATGTGCCGGTTGAAGGTGTGATTCTTCAGCATTATCTGCTTGGTGCCATACTTGCTGACGATAAAGAAGGGCGAGCTGTTCTCCCCGCTGCTGCTGCTGGTGCTGCCTCCAGTACCGCTAGCGTTGCGTCGGGTCTGACACTCGAGCTGCGAATCGTCTTCTTCGCCGTCCAAGCTGATCGGATAGTCGAACTTGACTGCAATTAAACAAATAATGGGTTCAGAGAGTTGCATCTAGTTGCTGCTGCTGCTACTGTGGCTGCTACTACTGCGGCTGCTGCTGCTGCAGAAATAAAAGACAAGGCTTGGCTTTTCGATTACAACTTTTCATTTCAACCAGTTACAGTTGCTTAGTCTAAGGCTAAGACTATGCTTAACTAAATATTTGTATATGCATATGTATTTGCAATCCGTTCGAGCTAGCGGCAGTGCGGCGCATGCCCATTGTGCTTGGTCAAGCGTGGCCGGCGACTCAGCTCGACATGCACGTAGTGCGCCGCGCAGTTGGGCGTCACGCAATGGTAGTAGGTGCGATATTGCATGGCACGCGTTTTCTTATAGCACCGTCCATCGATGAGCAGAAACTCGCCGTTGGACGTGCGCCTGAACCTCACAGATGCATCAGCTGTGGGCGACGTGGATGCTGTGGCTGCTGTTTGGTATGGGGATGATACAAATTTCAAATTACGTGTTTTTTAGTGCAAGCGCTTAGGTATACCTTAAATACTATGAGAAGTCTTAGCTTAGACCGCACAGTGAAACTATTAAAAGCGAACAGGGTAGAAGATATTACTACTTTTCATACTTGCGAAATAAATAAATAAACAATTGCTATTAAAATTGGTGTAAAGCAAACAAAATTAGGGAAAAATACTAGGAATGACTTGGCTAATAAATGGATTATAGCAGGTGCGCTTAGAGTTTTCACTGTACAGTGGTACACAACTAAATAAACTACTAAACGCGGTTTTTTTTATATTGCATTGATTCTTTAGAGATTTATCTATTTTAATATTGTTGTAATAACATTTCCTTGGTCATGAGCTTAGGGGGCAACGT